GCCCGTGCCCTCTCCTGCCTGTGGCAGCAGCCCACACCTGCCCGGCCTGCTGGGTGTCCTGGAACCCAGGAATTTAAAACTTCCAGGCCAGGCCGGGCGGTGACTCATGCCTGTAATCCCAGCCCCTTGGGAGGTTGAGGAAGGAGGATGGCTCCATCCCAGAAGTTCAAGATGCGCCTGGGCAACGTGGCCCCTATCTACAAAAAATTAAAACATTAGTCAGGCGTCGTGGTGCGCACCTGTGGTCCCAGCTACTCGGGAGGCTGAGGTGGGAGGATGGCTTGAGCCCTGGAGGTTGAGGCTGCAGTGAACTATGATGGTGCCGCTGCACTCCAACCTGGGCGACAGGGCCAGACTGTAAGAAAAACTAAAAATGAGCCAGGTGCGGTGGCTCACGCCTGTAATCCCAACGCTTTGGGAGGCTGAGGCGGGCGGATCACAAGGTCAGGAGTTTGAGACCAGCCTGGCCAACATAGTGAAACCCCGTCTCTACTAAAAATACAAAAAAATTAGCCAGACGTGGTGGCTCATGCCTGTAGTCCCAGCTACTCGGGAGGCTGAGGCAGGAGAATCGCTGGAAACCGGAAGGTGGCGGTTGCAGTGAGCTGAGATCGCACCATTGCACTCCAGCCTGGGCAACAAGAGCAAGACTCCATTTCAAAAAAAGAAAAGAAAAAGAAAAGTGAAAAATGAAAAGAAAGCCGGGTGCAGTGGCTCCCGCCTGTAATCCCAGCACTTTGGGAGGCAGAGGCAGGTGAATCACCTGAGATCAGGCGTTTGAGACCAGCCTGGCCAACATGGTGAAACCCCGTCCTTAATAAAAATACAAAAATTAGCTGGGTGTGGTGGTGAATGCCTGCAATGCCAGCTACTCAGGAGGCTGAGGCAGGAAAATCACTTGAACCTGGGAGGCAGAGGTTGAAGTGAGCTGAGATCGAGCCACTGAACTCCAGCCTGGGCAACAGAGTAAAACTCCATCTCAAAAAAAAAAGACCGGCCGGGCGCGGTGGCTCAAGCCTGTAATCCCAGCACTTTGGGAGGCCGAGACGGGCGGATCACGAGGTCAGGAGATCGAGACCATCCTGGCTAACACAATGAAACCCCGTCTCTACTAAAAATACCAAAAAATTAGCCGGAAGAGGTGGCGGGCGCCTGTAGTCCCAGCTACTCGGGAGGCTGAGGCAGGAGAATGGCGTGAACCCGGGAGGCGGAGCTTGCAGTGAGCCGAGATAGCGCCACTGCACTCCAGCCTGGGCGACAGAGCGAGACTCCGTCTCAAAAAAAAAAAAAAAAAAAAAGATCAACCTGGGCAATAGAGTGAGACCCACCTCTCCCGCTTGTCTACAAAAAATAAAAATAAATAAAGTAAAAATTAAAACAGGGCCAGGCACAGTGGCTCATGCCTGTAATCCCAACCCTTTGGGAGGCCGAGGTGGGAGGATCATTTGAGCCCGGGAGTTTAAGACCAGCCTGGGCAACAAAGCAAGACCCTGTCTCTGCAGAAAAACAAAAGCACAAAATTAGTTGAGTGCGGTGCCTATGGTTCCAGCTACTCGGGAAGCTGACGTGGGAGGATGGCTTGAGCCCAGGAATTTGAGCCTACAGTGAACCATGATTGCATGATTCTCCTACCTCAGCCTCCCAAGTATCTGGGATTACAGGCATGTGCCGCCACACCCAGATAATTTTCGTATTTTTAGTAGCGGGTTTCACCTTGTTAGCCAGGGTGATCTTGATCTCGTGATCCACCCACCTCGGCCTCCCAAAGTGCTGGGATTGCAGGCATGAGCCACCGCGCCCCGCCAATTTTTAAATAATGTTGGAGGCCGGCCACAGTAGTTCACGCCTGTAATCCCACACTTTGGCAGGCAGAGGCGGGCGGATCATCTGAGGCCAGGAGTTTGAGACCAGCCTGGCCAACATGGTGAAACCCCATCTCTACTAAAAAATACAAAACTTAGCCAGGCGTGGTGGCAGGCGCCTGTAATCCCAGCTAGGGAGGCTGAGGCAGGAGAATCACTTGAACCCGGGAGGCGGAGGTAGCAGTGAGCCGAGATCGCGCCACTGCACTCCAGCCTGGGCCACAGAGCAAGACTCTATCGCAAAATAAATGCAGAAAATAAAATGAGGTTGGAGGAAACTCTGGAGGCACAGCAGGTCCTGGGATTGGACTCCCTCCCTCCCTTCCAGGATAAAATGAAATCCAGGCCTCGCTCACAAGGCCCCGCACGAACCGGCCCCGCTCCGTGGTCCTGCCCCAGGGCCTTCGCACGGGCCTGCCCGGCACACGGTTCTCTGGGGGTCGTTGGCTCCCGGCTCAAACGGCCCCTCCTGCCAACCAGGCGGGTCCCCGGGGCCGCCCTGCCTGTGGCCTGGGCCCCGGGTCGGTGGCTCGCGCCTGCCACCTGGCGGCCAGCGGAGCTGCGGCGCCTACGCTCTGGCGCCAGCCTCCTGCCCGGGCCGTGCCCTCTGCCGGGAGCCGCGGGCCAGGGGTCGCACCGCCTCCGGGGACCGCACCCCGCATCCAGCATCCGGCCCCTGCCTCTTGCTGCTCCAGGACACACGGCCCAGGACAGCTACAAACCCCAGGCGGAAATCCCAACTTTTAGACGAATGCTCCCTTTTTAAGGGGGTTGGCAACTAATTCCACTTTTTTTTTTTTTTTGGACAGAATCTCGCTCTGTCGCCCAGGCTGGAGTGCAGTGATCTCGGCTCACTGCAACCTCCGCCTCCTGGGTTCAAGCAATTCTCCTGCCTCAGCCTCCCGAGTAGCCGGGATTACAGGAACCTGCCACCACACCCGGCTAATTTTTTTGTATTTTTAGTAGAGATGGGGTTTCACCGTGTTAGCCAGGATGGTCTCGATCTCCCGACCTCATGATCCGCCTGCCTCGGTCTCCCAAAGTGCTGAGATTACAGGCTTGAGCCACCGCGCCCAGCCCTAATTCCACATTTTGAAGCCGGGCGCGGTGGCTCAAGCCTGTAATCCCAGCACTTTGGGAGGCCGAGGCGGGTGGATCACGATGTCAGGAGATCGAGACTATCCTGGCTAACATGGTGAAACCCCGTCTCTACTAAAAATACAAAAAACTAGCCGGGCGTCGTGGCGGGCGCCTGTAGTCTCAGCTACTTGGGAGGCTGAGGCGGGAGAATGGCGTGAACCCGGGAGGCGGAGCTTGCAGTGAGCCGAGATCACGCCACTGCACTCCAGCCTGGGAGACACAGCGAGACTCCGTCTCAAAATAAATAAATAAATAAATAAATGAAACTGTTTTTAGACCAGACGTTGTGGCTGAAGCCTGTAATCCCAGCGGTTTAAGAGGTCAAGGCTTGAGCCCAGGTGTTCGAGACCAGCCTGAACAACATAGTGAGACCCCCCCATCTCTATTAGATATATATTTAAATAAATAATATTTAATTTTTTTTCTTTGAGACAGAGTCTCATTTGCCCAGGCTGAAGTGCAGTGGCGGGATCTCAGCTCACTGAAACCTCCGCCTCCCGGCTTCAAGTGGTTCTCCTGCCTCAGCCTCCTACCACGCCCGGCTAATTTGTGTACTTTTTGTAAAGACGGGGTTTCACCATGTTGGCCAGGCTGGTCTCGAACTCCCGATCTCAGGTGATCCACCCACCTCGGCCTCCCAGAGTGCCGGGATTACAGGCGTGAGCCAAAGTGCCCGGCCTTTTTTCCTTTTTTTTTTTTTTGAGACGGAATCTCGCTCTGTCGCCCAGGCTGGAGTGCAGTGGCCGGATCTCAGCTCACTGCAAGCTCCGCCTCCCGGGTTCATGCCATTCTCCTGCCTCAGCCTCCCGAGTAAGCTGGGACTACAGGCGCCTGCCACCTCGCCCGGCTAATTTTTTGTATTTTTAGTAGAGACGGGGTTTCACCATGTTAGCCAGGATGGTCTCGATCTCCTGACCTCGTGATCCGCCTGCCTCGGCCTCCCAAAGTGCTGGGATTACAGGCTTGAGCCACCGCGCCCAGCCCCTTTTTTTTCTTAATGCCATTTTCAGACATGGCCCACGACGGGCAGCCGTGCCATGAGGTTAGACCCTGCTTGGCTCAGACAGAACTGGCGACTTGTTTGACCCATACCAAGTTATCCGACTAATAATTTAGATGCTGGGGCCCCTAAAGAGGGGTCAAGGGGGAGGCAAATATGGACCAATAAGAAAGCACTGGGCCGGGCACGGTGACTCACGCCTGTAATCAGCACTTTGGGAGGCCGAGTGGGGAGGATCACTTGAGCTCAGGAGTTCGAGGCCAGCCTGGGCAGGACAGTGAGACCCTGGCTCTACAAAAATAAATAAATAAGGAAGCAGTGAATTCCAATGTATTCATCGCCAACTAACCAGGTTGTTGGGTGTGCGCTCCTCTTTTAGGTGCAATGTGCAATGAGGTCGGAACTTTATTATTTGAACATTTAAAAATACATGAATCCATGGCCGGGCGCGGTGGCTCAAGCCTGTAATCCCAGCACTTTGGGAGGCCGAGACGGGCGGATCACGAGGTCAGGAGATCGAGACCATCCTGGCTAACACGGTGAAACCCCGTCTCTACTAAAAAATACAAAAAACTAGCCGGGCGAGGTGGCGGGCGCCTGTAGTCCCAGCTACTTGGGAGGCTGAGGCAGGAGAATGGCGCGAACCCGGGAGGGGGAGCTTGCAGTGAGCTGAGATCCGGCCACTGCACCCCAGCCTGGGCGACAGAGCAAGACTCTGTCTCAAAAAAAAAAAAAAAACAAAAACGTGAATCTAAGAGGTCGAGTCACTTGGCCAAAAACGCCCGGGAGGAAAAGGCCAAGTCTAGTACCCTGGCTCTAGACCTACTAACTGATCGCCGGAGACCCCGGGCCTTGGAAGAAGTCGCCTCCCCAGATCTCTAAGCCGGCCGCGCGACCCTCGAGTCTCAGGTAAGCGGGAAATCCCATCTCACAGGGAAGACCCCGCTCCGAGGCACGGGCGCATGCGCGGGTCGGCCACCCGCTGGAGCCGCGGGTGCGCCGCTCTGGCCCGCGTGGCGCAGTCGTCCGCGTCTCGCTGATGATGACGCACGTCCGGGGCGGTGGGGAAGGCAAGATGGCGGCGCCCATGGAGGTGGCCGTGTGTACGGATTCGGCAGCCCCGATGTGGAGCTGCATCGTGTGGGAACTGCACTCGGGCGCCAACCTGCTCACCTACCGCGGCGGCCAGGCGGGACCCCACGGCCTGGCGCTGCTCAATGGCGAGTATCTGCTGGCGGCGCAGCTGGGCAAGAACTACATCAGCGCCTGGGAGCTGCAGCGGAAGGTGCGGCCGTGCGGGCTCGCTGCTGGGCTTGGCTGCGGGGGTCACGGGGCGCCCGAGGCTACAGTCGGGGGATGGGTTTGTGGGGGCCGCGTGCACCCTGAGTCGGAATTGGCGTGGGGCGCGGAGGTCTCCGTTCGGGCGCTCTGCGCATGCGCGGGTCTGGGGGCTTTGGGGAGAGATGCGCGACCTGTTAGGCCGCTCTGCGCACGCGCGGGGCTCAGGCTTAGGCTGCCGTGGGGGCAGTGGGGGAATGGAGACGCTCCGGGGGTCCCTTGGGGCAATTGCGCATGCACGAGTTCTTGGCGCGCGAAATTTGATTAAAAGGAGACTATACGGATCGCGAGGTCAGGAAATCGAGGCCACCCTGGCTAACACGGTGAAACCCCGTCTGTACTAAAAATACAAAAAATTAGCCGGGCATGGTGGCGGGCGCCTGTAGCCCCAGCTACTCGGGAGACTGAGGCGGCAGAACGGCTTGAATCTGGGAGTCAGAGGTTGCAGTGAGCCGAGATCGTACCACTGCACTCCAGCCTGGGCGACAAGCAAAAAAAAAAAAGAAAGAAAAAAAAAAAAAGGAGACTGTGAGCTCTGTGGATGTTGTGGTTCTGCAGGAAGAGGGAGAAGGACCTAGATCTGGGGGAGTCCCCCATGAAGGAGTGGCGTAGGAGACTCATGCGTTTATCCCTCCAATAAAGAAACAGATACTAACCGTCGCCCACCGTTTCCCCTCTACCCTCAAGCCCAAAATGCAGCCAGTCCCTGAAGCTACTCGCTTCCCCTGTGCGCACACTGAGATCTCTTGGGACTGGTTCTGTGCTCTGGCATTGCCTGATGGAGTCCACGCACAACTCATAAATTTTTCCCATTTTCTTTTATTTTTGAGACAGGGTCTCACTCTGTCTCCCAGGCTGGAGTGCAGTGGTGCGATCTCGGCTCACTGCAGCCTCCGCCTCCAGGGTTCAAGCGATTCTCAGACCTCAGCCTCCTGAGTAGCTGGGACTACAGACCCGCACCAACCACCACACCTAGCTAGTTTTTGTATTTTTTATAGAGGCAGGGTTTCACCATGTTAGCCAGACTGGTCTCGAACTCCTAAACTCAAGTGATCCACCCACCTCAGCCTCCCAAAAATGCTGGGATTACAGGCATGAGCCACCACGCCTGGCCGAGTTTTCCCATTTTAAAGAGGAGGAAGCTGAGGCTTGGGGTCTTAGGTTGGACATTATGGATAGAAGAATCGGTGCACAAGCCTACTGGGCTCTTGGACCCCAGTGTCCTTCTAGACCCTCTTTGTTTTGTTCCTGTGTTCCTCCCAGCCAGGGTCCCTCTGGCCCTCAGAGGAAGCACCAGCCTCCTCTTATCTACCACCTCCAGCCTCGAAGCCTCTTGCAGGGGCGAACACTTCCTCGCTGGACCATGCATTTGCTCAAACCACCCTGCTCCCGACTCCTCTCCCTGGTGCTCTTAACCACTGCCCAGGCGTCCCCTCCCCTCGCCTTCCGCTGCTGTAGGGGCTCCCGTGTCCTGCACGGGGCTCACGAGGCTGATTGTGCATCCATAGGACCAGCTCCAGCAGAAGATCATGTGCCCTGGGCCTGTCACCTGTCTGACCGCGTCACCCAACGGTCTCTACGTCCTGGCAGGAGTTGCAGAAAGCATCCACCTGTGGGAGGTAAGAGGCGCAAAGCGTGAGGGTTTCCCACAGGACATCTCAGCCCATCTGAGCCTTGCCTGCAGGGCACCAGGGAAAGACCATGCGGCCTGGGGCCCTGGGATGGGTGACTGCTCAGGGGTCACAGCCTAAGCTTCACCCTGCTGCCTCCTTTCTCCAGGTCCCCTCGAGACTCTTGCGAATCCCAAAGTGGCCCTAATCCTGCCTTGAGTGCTTGGATAGAGCCCGGTGCAGCCCAGTCCCCAGCACACACACACTGCAGCATCTTCCAGAGCTAGCGGGCATCTCTTCCAGGCAGGGGGCAGCACCTGGCACTTGTAACTTGACAGTTATAAAGGGCTGGGTACAGTGGCTCATGCCAGTAATCACTGCAACCTCTGCCTTCCAGGTTCAAGCTATTGTCCTGCCTCAGCCTCCTGAGTAGCTGGGATTACAGGCGCCCGCCACCACACCTGGCTAATTTGTTTGTATTTAGTAGAGACAGGGTTTCACAATGTTGGTCAGGCTGGTCTCGAACTCCTGACCTCACGTGATCCACCTGACTTGGCCTCCCAAAGTACTGGGATTACAGGTGTGAGCCACTGTGCCCGGCCAGTGCCTCCTTTTTCTTCCTGCTGGAGCAACTAGGTGACAGCAACCCCTAGACACACTCACAGCCCGTGCTCTCGCGGTGAGACACAGCGAACTGTTCAGGCCATGCATTTAGGTCAGCCTCTCAGCTCCACCCTGGTTAGGGGAAGCAGCCCTGGATGATGTGTGAGTGAGTGGGTGGTGCCGGGAGACTTCATTCACAAAGCCAGGCCTCTTGGGATTTGGCCCATATCGTAGCTGCTGTGTTAGATCATTGGCTGTGTTGTTACACATGGTTCATTATATTTGGGGGGAGACCTGCCCTCAAACCCACACAGAGCAGGGCAGACAGTACGAGATTTGGAGCCAGAAGACCCAAAGGTAACCATGTTTCTGCCCTTCTGACCTTGTCCTTGCCTCCCCCACTGGGCTGCTCAGAGAACTGAGAGGGCTGGGTGGGCATGAGGATTATCTGAGAGATACAAAGGCCACCAGGGGGATGGGCATGGTGGCTCACACCTGGAATCCCAGCACTTTGGGAGGCTGAGATGGGCGGATCACTTGAGGCCAGGAGTTCAAGACCAGCCTGGGTAACATGGTGAAAACCCGTATCTCCAAAATATACAAAAATTAGCTGGGCATGGTGCCATACACCTATAATCCCAGCTTTTTGGGAGGCTGAGGCATGAGAATCACTTGAATCCGGGAGGCAAAGGCTGCAGTGAGCTGAGATCGTACCACTGCACTCCAGCCTGGATGACAGAGCAAGACCTTGTCTCAAAAAAAGACGGGGGGGTGAGGTGGCGGGGAGCACAGGAATGACAGGAGGCATCATTATCTCACCCCCAGGACACGTGTATATGTATGTAATTTTTAAACTTATTTTTGAGATGGGGTCTCACTACATTGCCGTAGCTGGTCTTGAACTCCTGGACTCAAGCAATCCTCCCAGGTAGCTGGGATTATAGGCATGTGCCACCATGCCTGGCATCCCAAGGCTTTTAAATATCAGTCCTTGATTTTGAAACTGGGATGCTGTTGCTGAGAGAAACTGAGGCAGGGAGGCAGTAGCTCACAAGTCACCCCTCACGATACACCTCCTGACCCTGGTGGCTGTCAGTCTGGGGCAGAAGGGTATGTGGGTAGGAATTAAATGTATCATCACCCCATGGGGGATGTCTTAGGTGGGACCCCTTCCTGTTCTTGGCTGGGGACAGTGTGCTGGGTGGCACCCACTACCAGACCCCTGCTCCCCTAGCTTCCTCCTTTTTTTTTTTTTTATTTTTTTTGAGATGGAGTCTCGCTCTGTTGCTCGGGCTGGAGTGTGGTGGCTCGATCTCAGCTCACTGCAACCTCAGACTCCTGAGTTAAAGTGATTCTCCTGTCTCAGTCCTCCCGAGTAGCTGGGATTACAGGCACCTGCCACCATGCCTGGCTAATTTTTGTATTTTTAGTAGAGACAGAGTTTTGCCATGTTGGTCAGGCTGGTTTGGAACTCCTGGCCTCAGGTGATCCGCCCTCCTCCGCCTCCCAAAGTGTTGGGATGACGGGTGTGAGCCACTGTGGCTGGCCCTCCTGGAGAGTTTCTGACCGGCATGAGCTGTAACCACAAGGGGGTGCCCCACATGCTCAGCTGGAGCTCAGGCCGGACTGCCTCCACTGTGCCCCCTGCCACGGTTGAAATCCTCCTCCTATTCTCTGTGTGCATGACGGGTGTGTGAGTGGTGAGTCAGGAGTGGGCTGGAAACCTGAGAGCCGGGGCTGTGGGGCGGGGGCTGGTCTGCCTCTCCCATGCCACGGGGACAGGGACCTCCCAGGAGGCACTGATTCTCTGATGCTGCCCTGTGTGTACCGGCCCCGGGCAGTGGTGCTCACCAGAACTGCCATCTGTGGTTTGGGGCTGACCTGGACCCTGCTTCATCCAGTGCCATTTAACCCTCCCCGGCCACCCTGGGTTTTGCATGCGAGGAAACTGAGGCCCAGAGAGGGCATGGCCTGTCAAATCTGGGCTCAACAGGCCCTGCCTGCCCCAAGAAAGCACCACGCACAGGGGCTTTCGACAGCAGAAACTCGGCCCCCATCCTGGAGGCCAGAAGTCCTAAATCAAGGTGTCCGCAGAGCCACGCTGCCCCTGGAGGCCCCAGGAGGAGCCTCCCCACCTCTCCAGTGGTAGCCAGCGCCCCTTGGTGCCCTTGGCTTGTGGGTGACTCTCCCCTGCCTCTGCTGCCACGTGGAGCCCCCTGCGTGTTTGCACTTCTCTCAGCTCACCACAACCGGGACACACGGGATGGAGGCCCTCGCTCCAGAACCACCTCATCTTAACTTATTATATGTGCAGAGACACTGCGTCCAAAGAAGGCCATTCACAAATTCCAGGTCCGGACTTTAACAAGCTTTTGGGGGAAACACACGATTCAACCCACAACCCCAACCAGAGATCTGAGCCCTCGCCAGGCGACCTGGAAAGGGCTCCCTGTCCTCTTCCTCAGACAAGCTGCCGGGCTTCCTGCCCCCACCCCCGGTCAGGCCACCACAGCCTGCCCAGAAGCGACTTCCCGCTGAGTGGTGGGAGCTGCCTACAGCTCCCGAGTGCAGCCGTTCCTACAGGGCCTGCGCAGGAAGCCCGTGCCTTCCCTGGGGCCCGGCTCACGGGACCGGCACCTCCCTGAGGCAGCAGGGAAGGGCAGGAGACTTGCCCCCCTCCTGGGCGGTCACGCAGGCGGGGACGAGGCGGGAACAGGTGCCCACCCAGCCCAGGCAGGGGCGCGACAGTGTGGCCATGGCCGTGTGGTCATGGGGTTCCCCGGGCTGCAGCCCGCCCTTTCCTTCCCTGACCTGGGTGCCCTCTGCCCCTCACAGGTCTCCACCGGGAACCTTCTGGTCATCCTGAGTCGACATTACCAGGACGTCTCCTGCCTGCAGTTCACAGGGGACAGCAGCCACTTCATCTCAGGGGGCAAGGACTGCCTGGTACTGGCTTGGAGCCTCTGCAGGTAGTGCCTCGCACACCCGGGCCTGCACCTGGGCTTGGGTGGGGAGAGGAGGGGCCCAGGCCCCTGGTGGGAAGGGGCTTCTCTTGGGGGCTGGAGTGCAGAGGACAGAGTGATCATCCCAGGGGTCCTGGCTGCCCACGCTGGGGTCTGGTTTGTCCTGCGGGCCGTGGGGACCCAGCCTGGAGTTTACTCAGGTGAGGCGGGCCAGGCTTCTGAGTGGAGGCAGGTGTGTGCGTGAGGTGGGTGCTGGAGGCGTGGACTGCCTTGTTCCCTCCGGTCCCCGCCTGCTGAGTACCCGCCTCACCCGGCCCAGCGTGCTGCAGGCCGACCCCTCCAGGATCCCGGCGCCCCGGCACGTCTGGTCTCACCACACGCTCCCCATCACGGACCTGCACTGCGGCTTTGGGGGCCCCCTGGCCCGGGTGGCCACCTCCTCACTGGACCAGACGGTGAAGGTACAGCCGCCCCCATCCCCCCACCGCGGTCCATGAGCAGAGCCCGGCAGCCGCAAGTCCTCAGCCAGGAATGCAGGGATCGTCTCCTCCCCCTCCCTGCTGTCAGGACTTCAGACAGCTTTTAATCCCCTGGTACTCTGAGCCCAAGGACGTCCAGGGAGGTCTGCCAGCCTGGAAATTCCCACTCATTCACCATTTCTGGTCTGGCTCCCTGGCCAAGCCTGGGGAATCGAAGGGCATCACTACGTTTCAGTCGTGGCCAGTGGTCCTGGGAGGGAGACCCAGGGGTCATCAGCCAGAGACCAAGCTCCGTTTCAGCAAGACCCACATGGTGACGGCTTTCACCCAAAGTCCCAAGCCCTAGGGCCAGAGGACAGCCGACGCCTGACCTCCCTGATGCCCCTGTTCCCACGGGGTCCTCGAGTTCCCCCGCGCCAGGCCGAGCCCCACGCCCTTTGCCCGCCCGCAGCTGTGGGAGGTCTCCTCGGGGGAGCTACTCCTCTCCGTCCTCTTTGATGTGTCCATCATGGCGGTGACCATGGACCTGGCTGAGCACCACATGTTCTGCGGCGGCAGCGAGGGCTCCATCTTCCAGGTCGATCTCTTCACCTGGGTGAGTGCGGCGGCGGTCTGTGGGCTGCACCCTGCCCTGGGACTGAGGGCATCGGGCCTGTGGCTCACAGCCCTCTCGGCCTTCGCAGCCCGGACAGAGGGAGAGGAACTTCCAGCCAGAGCAGGACGCCGGGAAGGTCTTCAAAGGGCACAGGTGGGGACGTGGGAACGGGGCGGGGGGCTCCCGAGCACGTCCTGTCTGGCGCCTGACCCCTGCCTGCCTGTCTAGGAACCAGGTGACCTGCCTGTCGGTGTCTACTGACGGCAGCGTGCTGCTCTCGGGCTCCCACGACGAGACCGTGCGCCTCTGGGATGTGCAGAGCAAGCAGTGCATCCGGACGTTGGCCCTCAAAGGTGGGCGCGCCTCTGCTGAGCCTGCGGCCAGCGTGCAGGGGGCGGGGAGGAGATCCAAGGGGAAAAGGGGCTTGGCTTGACTGTGGGCGGGACTGGCTTGCTGTGGGGTGGGGACTGGCTGGGGGCCTCGCAGGAATGGGGCGGGGACTAATTGGGGGCGGAGACTGCCCTGGATGGGGCGGAACCTGTCAGGTATGGGGCGGGGTCTGGCTGGGGGGGGAGACTGCCCTGGATGGGGCGAAACCTGGCTTGTTGTGAGGCGGGGCCTGGCAGGGATGGGGCGGGGCGTGGCTGGGATGGGGCGGGGAATGGCTGGGGGCGGAGACTGCCGTGGATGGGGCGAAACCTGGCTTGCTGTGGGGCGGGGCCTGGCAGGGATGGGGCGGAGCGTGGCTGGGATGGGGTGGGGAATGGCGTGGATGAGGCGGAACCTGGCTTGCTGTGGGGCGGGGCCTGGCTGGGATGGGGCGGAGCGTGGCTGGGATGGGGCGGGGAATGGCGTGGATGAGGCGGAACCTGGCTTGCTGTGGGGCGGGGCCTGGCTGGGATGGGGCGGGGAATGGCTGGGGGCGGAGACTGCCGTGGATGGGGCGGAACCTGGCTTGCTGTGGGGTGGGGCCTGACCACCGCACCCCCCAGGCCCAGTCACCAACGCCACCATCCTACTGGCGCCCGTCAGCATGCTGAGCTCAGACTTCAGGCCCAGCCTGCCGCTGCCCCACTTCAACAAGCACCTGCTGGGCGCCGAGCACGGGGACGAGCCGCGCCACGGGGGCCTCACCCTGCGCCTGGGCCTCCACCAGCAGGTACGGCCCCCAGCAGGGAACCCCCACTGCCCTTTGGTCTCAGAAGACCCCGCAGGCCGTGGGCTCCTTCGCTCCCTCAGTCCTGGCACCCGTGCGGCGGTTTCCCCCAAGCCCAGCACTGGAGGGCACATCCTGTGAGCGGGATGGTGATGCTCGGAGGGCCCTCTGCCCACTCTGGGTGTGGACCCAGAGGCTCTGATAAGTTAACCACCCCTCGTCCCCCGGCCAGCAGGGCCGAACTGTGCGCCCCACACGCCAGCCTTCGCGCGCTGGAGATCTGATGGTCAGCTAGGTCTTTCTGCAAAGGGCTAATGCCCCATATTTCGGGCTGCGAGGGGCAAAAGTTTCACATCTGGGCTGCGGAAGGTGCGGGAGCAGCCGTGCAGGGCAGGGAGCGGGTGGGGCCCTGATGGCTGCATGTGGCTCCCACGTGGGTTCGGGGCGGCCTCTGCCTGACCACAGTCACATCCTCACCCCTGCAGCTCAGCACCACCGCCTGCTCTGTGCAGGTGCTAGGGTAGGCTCCTTCCCACCCCGGCCCCAGGAACCTCACAGAAGCCAGTATGGTTGGCTGGGGTGGGGGCTGGGGGGGGTCCTTGAGCCTGGGGAGGCTTCCCAGCGTGTTTCCGCCCCACTCCCCAACCTTCAGGGAGCTGCCTGCGTCCTTGGTGTCTCACGTCACTGTCTGTGTCCCTCGCTGGGCTCTGGCGCTTGGCACTTGTCCCCACGCGCCCTCTTCTCACCTGAGTACAGATTGATTTTTTTATCTGGAGGGTGCCCGACAGCCTGACAGACCCTGCACCAGGAGATGCCGTTATCTCCCTTGTCCACGCTGACTGATGGAGTGACGCTCTGTCTTCCCACATCTACCAGTGGGCTCGGGGCGGGCAGGCAAGGGACCCCCACCGTCTGGGCATCCGCAGGCCCCTCAGACCGAAGGAGGCCAGGAGCACAGGCTGGACTGGCTGCTAACAGCATGGGCAAAAGGGGGGCGCGCCTTTGTGTTCAGAAAGTGCTGGAACCTTCGGAGTGAAAACAGGCCTGCAGTGGCACGGAGCCAGCTCCCCGCTAGGGTACCTGCCCGGACACTGCCTCCTCCCAGGGCAGCGGCGGCTCCCACGATTCCTACCCAGCCAAGTGCCCTCCCCAGAACCCCACCCAGCTGGCCACAGTGAGATTCTAGAAGGGGCCAGGCCACACCCTCCGGTAATGCCACCACCTTTTCCTGGGCGCCCCACCTGGCTCCCTTCCTCCTGCGATGGCTGCCAGCTTGTTGCAATACAGCTGACACTGACTGGAATGTCGGCCTGTCCCACAGGCGCTGCTGGGGCCCAACACACAGCGTCCAGGAGGCGGGTTCCCGACCTCCGACCCCCCCAGCGACTGGTCCCTCTGCCCAGGGCAGTGGCCTCACTGGACTGGCTGGGCTCTCCCCATGGCTGGAGGTGGTCACTGTCTGTGAGGCCCTCGTCCGGCCCTGTGTCCCAGAACCTTCCCTGGGATCGCGGGCCCTTCCAGGCCTGACCCAGGCCCCCTGTGTGTGGTGTGGTCATCTGCACCCATATCCCCAGCCCCATCCTTGGGCGCAGTCGTGGAGGATCTGAGGCGCTGGGTGATGGCTGCATAGCCAGGGTCAGGGTGGTCATCTGCAGACTCGAGGGAGATGAATGCCCCTGCCTCAGTCTCCCCTTCTGTCTGTGGGCGTCACGGTGGCCCCTCCCTGACTGAGTGGCTGCCCACGATATCGGGGGTGGGATGGGCAAAGCGTGTGGTGTGTGACAGGACACAGCCCGAGGTCATGCGGCCCACCGTGTTGCAGGGTTCAGAGCCCAGCTACCTGGACCGCACGGAGCAGCTGCAGGCCGTCCTGTGCAGCACCATGGAGAAGGTGGGCAGGGCCTCGGGTTGGGCGGGGCCTCGGGAGGGGCGGCCTCAGGCTGGGCGGGGCCTGAGACTGGGTCAGTCCTGGCCAGTGGCCCCCACTTCAGCGCACCCCAGGCCACTTCCGCCCTCTGACCCCGACTCCTACCGCAGAGCGTGCTTGGTGGCCAGGACCAGCTGCGGGTCCGTGTCACAGAGCTGGAGGACGAGGTGCGCAACCTGCGCAAGATCAACCGGGACCTGTTCGACTTCTCCACGCGCTTCATCACGCGGCCAGCCAAGTGAGGCCCAGAGACCCGGGCCCAAGGCGCCCAGGCCTGAGCCCCACGCCTCCCAGCAACCGGAGCCCACGGGTGTGGCCCCCACCAGCCCAGGCCTGGACTCTCCCCAGTTCTGCGTCGTGTTTGGGCTTTTCCTCTGTGACTGGGCGGTCTTGGTGTCTCGTGGCACGCGTCACATTGGTGCTAGCCTGTTTTTAACAAAAGAGGATGAAAGGCTTCTCTCCTGCCTCCTTGTGTCCGGGTGTGGCCTGGTGCTGGGCGCATCGCAGCTCCACTCTGCTGCTCGGCCCAGCTCAGAACCCCAGCCCCACTCGGCACCCTCCATCCGGAGGTAGAGACCTCAACCATGCTAGGCCTGGCAGGAACGGCTTTAGGACACACCCCCGAGCAGCTGCAGTTCTGACTCTGCTCTATTGCCCGAGGGCCTTTGCATGGCCGCGCCTTCCCGAGAAGGCACTGGGCCAGGGTGGTGGGTTTGAAGGAACCAGGAGGCCAGGCCCCTCTGGTCTGCTGTGCAGGGGGTCTGAGTGGAGACAGCCCTGTGGGGTCCTAAGGGAGGTGGCTGGGTGTAGAGAGACGGGCCGGGGGACGTTTGGGGGTGGATCCAGCTGCCAGGGTTGAGGGGTTTCGCCGGGTGCAGGGCCCAGCTCTCAGGGAGGGTTTTGGGGGTGGCTGGTCCCGGTGGGAACCCAGGGCTCCAGACCAGGCAGGAGGAGGGAGCCGGTGTGGGCGGGGCCTTGGAGCACAGGCTCCTCCCAGTGCCTCCCTCAGGTGCCTTGGGGCCCCTGCTGGCTTCCCCAGGGCCCAGCCAAAGCCGCCCAAACCCTACCCCAGGGCGGTTCTCTGGGCAAAAGGTGCCCTGGCCTCCCCAGGCAGAGGCGGCTTGCCCCACCCAGCAAAGGTGGCCACCGCAGCCTGGGACCACCAGATGGGTCAGGGGCAGGTCTGGGCGTGGTGTCCCGATCTGAGCCAGTCCCCAGAGGGGGTTGCCCGTTGGCCACACCACAGGCGGTGCTTGTGGATATCAAGGGCTTGAGGGAGGCCGGGCCCCTCCGCCCTGGGGATGCTGCCAGCCAGTGCCTGGAGCCCAGCCCAGAAGCCCAGAACCTTCCAGAAAGCTGCCCCTGACTGACAGTCCTGCCTAACGATCCAGAAAATCCGTGTGATTTAACGGGCGTGGTAATGACTGCAGCTTGGAGCCAGCTGCCAGCGCTGAGTTCATGCTTTTTGGCTAATTTGTGTTCTTGTCCCCTCCACGGGGCTCTGAGCCCTCTTGGCTGGCGGCCTGGTCATACTGCGTCAGGGCAGCTGGGCCCTCTCCTGGTACTGACATCCACCTTGGCTGCTCACAGCCCTGAGAGCCTCTCGAGGGTCCCTTCCCCCTGGGCGCACACCCTGCTTGTGCCTGTCCCGTCATGAACCGCTCACCCTGCTGGCCTGCAAGGCTGGGTCCTGCCTGTGGGGAGCACGAAGGTTTGGGGTGAGGCAGCTGAGGGTCCCTTGGGGTTGGCTGATCTCTCTGGGTCTGTACTGCTCCCCTGGGGCCATTCCCACGGCCCTGCCCCCCCCCACAACCACCTCCCAAAGCTCCCCCACCAGCACCAATCAGGACCCCCAGCCACCAACTCGGGGTATCCGCACAATCCTGTGGCTGGTGCCAGGGCTGGGGTGAGGGTGTGCACAGCTGTAGAGGGATGGTTGCCCGCAGCCCCTAGGGGCTGGACTTGGCCACTTGGCCACAGCCGCTCCAAGAGCCCAAGGTGAGCCAGGTACGAACATACAGGCCACTGCGCAGCTGCCTGCACCACACGGCCATCCGGGGCTGGGGCTGAGGTCGGCTGCCCTCTCCGCAGGCTGCAGAACAGGGTTAGAGTTCACCGAGGGGCAGGGCCCGGCCACCCCACCCCCATCGGAACCTAAAATCACCTGGTAGCCTCAGACGGGCGACACCTGGCTCGGTCGGACTCGACTCGATGTTCTTGTGTCCAGAAAGGGGGCATCCCCCAGTGGGCCTGCCGGGACCCTCCGGGAGCTGGGCGGGAGCTGACGCCTCAGTCCCTGCGTTTCCCTCCATGTTCCCCCTGCATGCCTGGTCCTTGGACACAGGCCCCCTTGGTGCCTCCCCACACCCCCTCCTGCACCCTCATCACTCTCGGCCCAGAGTGTCCAGACGTGCTCAGGCACCGAGGTTCCACCCTGCGTTGTAGTTGACAGGCTGGGTACAGTGGAAACAGTGGAGACGCCATTTGTTCAGTCCCCCCTGGAGACCCCACAGATTCTCAGAGGTACGAGTGCGGGGACTGGGGAGGCCAAGCCTTGACGAGAGGGGATGCCGGTGTGCACAGGTGACCTGGCAGCTGGCAGGGTTTGACTCTGCAGATCACAGCGAGGTGCACCTGCGCACCGCCGGGACAGCTGCCAGCAAAGCTGAGAGCAGAGAACCTCGTGGGCGAGGAGGTGGAGAAGCCACAGCCCTCCCGTGCCCTGGTGCGGACGTGAAATGGGGCATCCACTGTGAAAAGAGTCTGTGAAAAGACCACGCCCGGCCTGTCAGGTTCTTAAAAAATTAAACAGCGGCCGGGCGCGGTGGCTCACGCCTGTAATCCCTGCACTTTGGGAGGCCGAGACGGGCGGATCACGAGGTCAGGAGATCGAGACCATCCTGGCTAACACGGTGAAACCCCGTCTCTACTAAAATACAAAAAAAAAAAAATTAGCCGGGCGCGGTGGCGGGCGCCTGTAGTCCCAGCTACTCGGGAGGCTGAGGCAGGAGAATGGCGCGAACCCGGGAGGCGGAGCTTGCAGTGAGCCGAGATGGTGCCACTGCACCCCAGCCTGGGCGACAGAGTGAAGACTCCGCCTCAAAAAAAAAAAAAAAAAATTAAACAGCATTGTCTGGGCACAGTGGCTCACACCTGTAATCCCAGCACTTTGGGAGGCCAAGGTGGATCATGAGGTTAGGAGATCGAGACCATCCTGGCTAACATGGTGAAACTCTGTCTCTACTAAAAATACAAAAAAAAAAAAAAAAAAAGCCAGGCGTGGTGGCGGCGCCTGTACTCCCGCTACTCGGGAGGCTGAGGCAGAAGAATGGCGTGAACCCGGGAGTCATAGCTTGCAGTGAGCTGAGATTGTGCCCCCGCACTGCAGCCTGGGCGACAGAGCGAGACTCCGTCTCAAAAAAAAAAAAACAAAACATTAAACAGCATTAAGGTTGGACCCAGCGAGTCCACTTCTGGGCATATACCCAAGAGAATGAGAGCGGGGTTTTGAAGTGATCCACACACACAACTCACAACAGTTCCATCCCCATAGCCAAACAGTGGGGTAAGGCCAGGCGCCATGGCTCATCCCTGTCATCCCAGCATTGTGGGAGGCCGAGGCCGGCGGATCACCTGAGGTCAGGAGACCAGCCTGGCCAACATGGTGAAACCTCCTCTCTACTAAAAATAGAAAAGTTAGCCAGGTGTTGTGTCACGCACCTGTAATCCCAGCTACTCAGGAGCCTAAGGCAGAATTGCTTGAACCTGGGAGGTGGAGGTTGCAGTGAGCCGAGATCGCCCCACTGCACTCCAGCCCAGATAACAGAGCAAGACTTCGTCTCAGAAAAAAATGGGGGGAGGGAACCAAGTGTCCACCAGCGGTTGGAGGGTCAGCACAACGTGGTCCTCTGCACAGTGGAATATTATTCAGCCTTGAAAAGGGATGAGAAAGCCCGGTGCAGTGGCTCACCCAGTAATCCAGCACTGTGGGAGGCTGAGGCAGGATAATCACCTGAGCACAGGAGTTCGAGACCAGCCTGGGTAACATCCCTACAAAACCCCATCTCTATAAAAAATGTAAATCTTAGCCAGGTGTGGTGTGTGCCTGTGGTCCCGGCTACTTGGGAAGTCAAGGCAGGAGGATCGCTTGAGCCCATGTGGTTGAGGCTGCAGTGAGCTGCACTCAGCCTCACTCCAGCCTGGGCAACAGAGCCAGATGCAGTCTCAAAAAAATAAAAATAAAAGTGAGGCTCGGACACAGGCCAGAGTATGGGTGCACCTTGAGGATGTCACGCTCAGTGAGAGACGCCAGACACAGAAGGACACGACCTGTCTGATTCCACTCCTAGGAGGTCCGTAGAGTCTTCAGATTCACAGAGACAGAAAGGAGGATGGGAGGCGGCAGGGCTGGGGAGGGGATGGGGAGTCAGTGTTCCTTGGGGACAGTTTCTGTTTGGGAAGATGAGAAAGTTCTGGAGAGGAGGGCGGTGAGGGCTACATAGCAATGAGTGCGCTGAATGTGGCCGAACTGTGTACCTAGAAATGGTTAAGATGGCAAATTTCACGTTATGACTTTTACCACAATAAAAGATTTTTCAAAAGTATCTTCCACGTGTCCACTTGTTCACATGGCAGCTGGGAGTAGGAATGCCCATGTTGCCATATACAGATGGGGAAACTGAGGCAGGGCACAAGGGGAGTTCCAGGAGGGCAGACACAGTCTCTGCCCCTAGGAACTCTTGCTCCTCAGAAGGAGGTGAACCCAGGGAGGGGCGGGGCCCCAGTCATCCCTGAGGACACCAGGACCCAGCACCTCTCGCAGACCCAGGGAAAGGATCCCTTGTCCTGCTCCTGGGGACACCTGGCCAGGGGGCTGGAGAGGGTGGCCTGCGGGTTCCTGGAACTGAGCCGTCCCTCCCTCTCTCCCCAGTCGTCTCAAAATCCAATCCATTTTACCGGCTGGCACTTGGCATTTTATTCATTTCATGGAGGATTTTTTCCCTCTCTCTGGAACGTTGGCTCCAAAAGGAGATGAGGTTTGGGGGGTGTGTGTGTGTGTGTGTGTGAAGAAAATCACTGGAGTGTAGATCCATTCATTAGAGCTGAATGTTCCCAGCACAGCGGCTGCTCTGCTGCCCTGCAGGATCTGGGAAGACACCGCTGGGAGGATGGGACGAGGAATGTCCGGGCAGGGAGGAAGAGAGGAGGTCCTCTGCTAGATGGATAGACAGATGCAGTCGGCCCCCGTCTATCAGGGGCCTGTGGGATGCCAGGACCCCAGAAGGACCCCCCAAGGCCCAGAGGACATAGACAGGCTTGGGGACTGGTAGACAGTGGGGAGCTATGGAAGGTTCTAGAGCACTGGAGGAGGGGAATGTGAACAAGCATCCTTGTCTGGGCGGTTGCTCAAACCACAAGCAATTATAGAGTGCCTAGTGTGTGCCAGTGTGAGACAGAGCAGCAGCCAAGCCAGACCCACCCTGACCCTCCCAGAGCTGAGTGGAAGAGATGGTCACTAAATAAGAAGAAAATGAACAAAAACTTGGTAGGCTGTTACGGAAATGTGTGGGGGTTGGGGGTGGGTAGCAGCAGGACTTAAATGGGGCAGGGAGTGGTGCTTCCTGCATTTTCTCAGTGGCAAGTAGGGAACGTTTTTCAGGGCAGGACATTTGGAACTGGGTTTTGAAGGGTGAAGAGGAGTTCTGTGGCCCAAGTTGCTTGCTCACTGCTGGAGGGCAGATCTACTCTATAGGTTCCCATCATCTATGCCTGCCTCAGTTTCCCCAGGGTGCACTGGATGTTAGAACACACCCCTGGGCTGGCCTGGTTAGAAACTGACCACTTCCTGGATGTGGGAGACAAGCATGACCCTTCCTGGGCCTCAACTTCCCTGCCTGAGCAATGGTTGACATTGGTGGAAGAGGTCAGGGATCCTGGAGAGGAACGGGGTGGGCGTCCGGGCCAATTTTATTTTGTTATTTTATTTTATTTTTTTGAGACAGAGTCTCGCTCTGTCGCCCAGGCTGGAGTGTAGTGGTGCGATCTCAGCTCACTGCAAGCTCCGCCTCCCGGGTTCAGGCAATTCTCTTGCCTCAGCCTCCCGAGTAGCTGGGACTGCAGGTGCGGGACGCCACGCCCGGATAATTTTTGTATTTTTAATAGAGACGGGGGTTTCACCATGTTGGCCAGGCTGGTCTCGAACTCCTGACCTCGTGATCCGCTCGGCCTCCCAAAGTGCTGGGATGACAGGTGTGAACCACCGCGCCTGGCAAGTCGGGGCCAATTTTAAAGCGCAGAGTCCTTTCCTGGCACCTCCATTCCATCTGAGGCCTGAATCAGAGCAGGGATGGGCAGTGGTTAGGCGTCCCCAGCCCCCGCCAAGTGTCACCGCCGAGGCCCGCAAGCAACCATTGGGAGGCTCTATTCCCCCCCCCCGCCCACTCCGGACAAGGCGCGTCCCACTCCCCCCGCGCGGTTGCTGGGAACCCCGAGGCGGCCCGGGCGGGGTGCGGAAGGAGCGTCGGAACCTGGCCGGGTCCCTCCTCCCGTGCCGTGGTCCGGGCGGCTGAGCCCCGCGGCGAGCGGCGCCGACAACTTTGCGATGGAGTTTGTGCGGGCGCTGTGTCTGGGCCTGGCGCTGGCGCTGGGGCCGGGGTCCGCGGGGGGCCACCCGCAGCCGTGCGGCGTCCTGGCGCGCCTGGGGGGCTCCGTGCGCCTGGGCGCCCTTCTGCCCCGCGCGCCTCTCGCCCGCGCCCGCGCCCGCGCCGCCCTGGCCCGGGCAGCCCTGGCGCCGCGGCTGCCGCACAACCTGAGCTTGGAGCTGGTGGTCGCTGCGCCCCCCGCCCGCGACCCCGCCTCTCTGGCCCACGGCCTGTGCCAGGCTCTGGCGCCTCCCGGCGTGGCGGCCCTGCTCGCCTTTCCCGAGGCTCGGCCCGAGCTGCTGCAGCTGCACTTCCTGGCGGCCGCCACCGAGACCCCCGTGCTCAGCCTGCTGCGGCGGGAAGCGCGCGCGCCCCTCGGAGCCCCGGTACGCGGGACGCGCGGAGTCAGGACGTGGGGGACCCGGGGGGGCGGGAGGAAGCCCTGGGCACACCCGGAGTCAGGATGGGGGTGCCGGGACTACGTAGGCAGGGAAGGGGGATCCCGGGACGCTAGACTGGCCCCAGGGCTCAGAGATGGGGAAAACCCGGGTGTCCTCGGAGCAAAGAAACCGGAACCCAGAGGCAGAGACCCAGGGGCAGGGACCTAGACGCGGCGTTGAGAGCCCCAGGGACGCCCCTGGAACGCCCCTGCAGACCCCTTCCCAGCGCCCTAGTGGAGACCCCGCCACTGTGGTCTCTGCCCCTTCCTTGCCCAGGCCCCTTCCCTCCTTGCCCACAGACCCTTCCCTGGTCCCTGGGACCTCCTGGTCCCCACCCGGCTCTGGGGGGCTGGCTGGAGGACAGGCGGTCTCCCTCCTCATTCTAGGGGTGCAGTTTCGGGGTCTGCAGGTCTGGATCTCCCTCCTTCCATAATTCTCCCCTTCCCCTCCCAGAGGCCTCCAAGATCCCAGAGCAACCCCTGCCATTCCAACCCCAACTCCATTCCCACCCCCCACCCCACCTCCCACCCCACTCCCCACCCCACCCCCCACCCCAGGCAGCCTTCAAGTTCCTCTCTTCTGATCCCATCCCAGGCCCAGATCCCGGGAGCAAACGGAATTAGAAGAGAAGGGCTGTTGACTGGGTTCTGGGGACCCTGTTGTTCCCCCCGGCAGGGCTCACTGCACCCCAGATAATAAACCCCCTTCCATCGCCTAGCAAGGAAGTCCCAACTCCGGACATGGGCCTGGCTGAGCTCTATGCCCAGCTGCCCCTCCTTCCCAACCCGCGCAGGAGCCCCTGCAGCCCCTCCCTCTCCTCAGGGAGGGAGACCCTGACGCTAGAGGGGGATTCTCTTAACCCAGCTCTGCAGGTGTCCAGGGGACCCCTGTCCCCCACCACCCTAGGGCTGCTGGGAGACGCAGGTCTCAAACCCAGGCCTGGGGCGCCCTCTGCTGCCGCCGCCAGGAGTTGCACCGCTGCAGGCCGGGGCGTGGGACCGACCCAGCGTCTTAGGGACTGGCTTGGCCCCCTGGGGACTGAGCCGCATCCCAAGCCCATCCTCCGGCGCTGGGCACCCTGCTTCCACCCTGGGAAGCGCCCTGCCCACCCGAGGGGACTGGCAAAGCTCTCCCACCTTAAATGCACTAAGTTAAATCCAGGGCCGGACGTGGTGGCTGGCGCCTGGAATCCCAGCACTTTGGGAGGCCGAGGTGGGAGGAAAACTTGAGCTCAGGAGTTTGAGATCAGCCTGGGCAATTTGGCGAGACCCCATCTCTACAATTACAAAAATCAGCTGGGCGTAGTGGTGGGCGCCTGTACTCCCAGCTACTCAGGAGATTCAGGTGGGAGGATCACTTGAGCCTGGGAGGCAGAGGTTGCAATGAGCGGTGATCGCACTACTGCACTCCAGCCTGGGCAACAACCCAGCACTGTCTACAAAAAAAAAAATATATATATATATATATATATATATATTTTATATATAATATATATACAGGCTGGGTACAGTGGCTCACGCCTGTAATCCCAGCACTTTGGGAGGCCAAGGCAGGCAGATCATGAGGTCAGGCGATCAAGACCATCCTGGTGAACACGGTGAAACCCCGTCTTTACTAAAAATACAAAAAAAAAAAAAAAAAAAAAAAAAAAGAGTCGGGCGAGGTGGCGGGCGCCTGTAGTCCCAGCTACTCGGGAGGCTGAGGCAAAAGAATGGTGTGAACCCGGGAGATGGAGCTTGCAGTGAGCCAAGATCACGCCATTGCACTCCAGCCTGGGTGACAGAGCAAGACTCCATCTCAAAAAAAAAAAAAAAAAAAAAAAAAAAAAAAAAAAACAGGAGAACTTCCTGGATGGCACTGGGCACAAAGGGGCCCCTCAGCCCTCCATGTGCCTGGCATGGGGCAGTAATGTGTGAAAAGGCTGCTAGGGGAAGCTACCTGGTTTGGCCCTAAACACAAGGCCATCACTGGGCTCACCTTTATGGGCCACGGCTCTTGGCCCTAGAGGGGTTCCCAGGCAGGTAGGTGCCACGTGAGGTCAGGACTATAAAGGAATCAGGAAGGGACCTGAGGCTGGAGGAGTTCCAAGCTGGAGCCTAGGCTCTGCCTGGAGGATGGAGAAGTCCGAATAGAGGAGGAGCAATGTGTTTGGGTTTTGAAGGATGTATAGGAGTTGGTGGGCATACAGGGAGAAAGGTATTCCATCTGGGGAACGGCACATGCAACACACACACACACACACACACACACACAAACACCAAGTGGGCCCATGACAAGGGCAGCTGGAGCCAAGAGAGGCTGGGAGGCTGAGCTTTGTGGGGATGGTGATGGGGAGCCATGGAAGTGTTTAGAGCAGGGCTGGGGCTGGGGGGAGGTGGAAGGGAGGTATAGCCATGCAGCTGGCATCTACTTACGGATCACCCACTGCTGGATTGGGGAGCGCTTTGTGGGGGTGGAGGTCGTCAACCCTAACTGTGGCCGCCCCTCTCCCAGAACCCATTCCACCTGCAGCTGCACTGGGCCAGCCCCCTGGAGACACTGCTGGATGTGCTGGTGGCGGTGCTGCAGGCGCACGCCTGGGAAGACGTCGGCCTGGCCCTGTGCCGCACCCGGGACCCCAGCGACCTGGTGGCCCTCTGGACAAGCCGGGCTGGCCGGGCCCCACAGCTGGTCCTGGACCTAAGCCGGCGGGACACGGGAGATGCAGGACTGCGGGCACTCCTGGCCCCGATGGGGGCACCAGTGGGGGGTGAAGCACCAGTACCCGCGGCGGTCCTCCTCGGCTGCGACGTTGCCCGTGCCCGTCGGGTGCTGGAGGCCGTACCTCCCGGCCCCCACTGGCTGTTGGGGACGCCATTGCCACCCAAGGCCCTGCCCACCGCAGGGCTGCCGCCAGGGCTGCTGGCGCTGGGCGAGGTGGCACGACCCCCGCTGGAGGCTGCCATCCATGACACCGTGCAGCTGGTGGCCCGGGCGCTGGGCAGTGCAGCCAAGGTGCAGCCAGAGCGTGCCCTCCTCCCCACCGCAGTCAACTGCGGGGACCTGCAGCCGGCCGGCCCTGAGTCTCCCGGGCGCTTCTTGGCATGGTGAGTGTGGACCCCGCTTCCCTTAGGAGGGTGTCCGGGCCACAGAGTCTGCGCTGCCCATGGATCACAAAAGGCAACGTGAGGCCGGGCGCGATGGCTCACGCCTGTAATCCCAGCACTTCGGGAGGCCAAGGCGGGCGGATCACTTGAGGTCAGGGGTTCGAGACCAGCCTGGCCAACATGGTGAAACCCCATCTCTACCAAAAAAAAAATTAGCCAGGCGTGGTGGCACACACCTGTAGTTCCAGCTACTCAGGAGGCTGAGGTGAGAGAATCACTTGAGCCTGGGAAGTCCAGGCTGCAGTGAGCTGAGACCGCACCACTGCAGTCCAGCCTGGGCGACAGAGACCCTGTCTCAAACACACACAGTCAGGATGCTTTGCTGATAGATGTCTTAGGTCCACAGAGGCAGTGCCCACCTGGGGAACTATCTCAGGGAGACAATGAGCTGACCTAGGAGGGAGGGAACGGGTCTCTGGCCGAGCCCTGGGGCAGTTCCTGAGAATGAACAACTCCTGGAAACAGGTGACCCCAGCTGGGCGCTTATGTGTCCGTCACTGACGTCAGGCATGGCGTATGTAGGGTGGGGGTACAGCCACGGCATCCGGGCATGAATGCCCTGGCATCAAGGGGTTAGGCTTGGGTGCACCAGGAGTGTCCACATTTGTCCTCATGATATGGACGGGGTGCCCAGTGGGAACTGGGCATGTGCTGGGCAGGGGTGAGGGAATGGAGGGGTCTGAACTTTGACACCTGACATCTCCCCTGCCCTGTCCCTAGGTTCCTGGCCAACACGTCCTTCCAGGGCCGCACGGGCCCCGTGTGGGTGACAGGCAGCTCCCAGGTATACATGTCTCGTCACTTTAAGGTGTGGAGCCTGCGCCGGGACCCACGGGGTGCCCCGGCCTGGGCCACGGTGGGCAGCTGGCGGGACGGCCAGCTGGACTTGGAACCCGGGGGTGCCGCTGCAAGGCCCCCACCCCCGCTGGGTGCCCAGGCCCGGCCCAGGCTGCGTGTGGTAACACTGGTGGAACACCCATTTGTGTTTGCCCGTGATCCGGACGAAGACGGGCAGTGCCCCGCAGGGCAGCTGTGCCTGGACCCCAGCACCAACGACTCGGCCACCCTGGACGCACTGTTCGCCGCGCTGGCCAATGGCTCAGTGCCCCGCGCCCTACGCAAGTGCTGCTACGGCTACTGCATTGACCTGCTGGAGCGGCTGGCGGAGGACACGCCCTTCGACTTCGAGCTGTACATCGTGGGTGACGGCAAGTACGGCGCCCTGCGGGACGGCCGCTGGACCGGCCTGGTCGGGGACCTGCTGGCCGGCCGGGCCCACATGGCGGTCACCAGCTTCAGCATCAACTCCGCCCGCTCACAGGTGGTGGACTTCACCAGTCCCTTCTTCTCCACCAGCCTGGGCATCATGGTGCGGGCACGGGACACGGCCTCACCCATCGGTGCCTTTATGTGGCCCCTGCACTGGTCCATGTGGCTGGGCGTCTTTGCGGCCCTGCACCTCACCGCACTCTTCCTCACTCTGTACGAGTGGCGCAGCCCCTACGGCCTCACGCCGCGTGGCCGCAACCGCAGCACCGTCTTCTCCTACTCCTCAGCCCTCAACCTCTGCTACGCCATCCTCTTCGGACGCACCGTGTCCAGCAAGACGCCCAAGTGTCCCACGGGCCGCCTGCTCATGAATCTCTGGGCCATCTTCTGCCTGCTGGTGCTGTCCAGCTACACGGCCAACCTGGCTGCCGTCATGGTTGGGGACAAGACCTTCGAGGAGCTGTCGGGGATCCACGACCCCAAGGTGGGCGGCCTCAGGGGGCTGGGGGTGGCCTCGGGGGGCTAGCGGGGGCCCCGGGTTGGGCTGCATGGGACAGGGGTGGTCAGCTGGGCATGGAGGATGTCCATTAGGCCAACTCTGTCCCAAGAGACATTTATTCAATTAATTAATGTATTTAAAGAAAAATGGCCGGGCACGGTGGCTCATGCCTGTACTCTCAGCACTTTGTGAGACCAAGGCGGGCAGTTCACCTGAGGTCAGGAGTTCCAGACCAGCCTGGCCAACATGGTGAAATCCCATCTTTACTAAAAAATGCAAAGAATTGACTGAGCATGGGGGCGGACATCTGTAATCCCAGCTACTCGGGAGGCTGAGGCAGGAGAATCACTTGAACCCAGGAGGCAGAGGTTGTGGTGAGTCAAGATGGCGCCACTGCACTCCAGCCTGGGTGACTGAGCAAGACTCCGTCTCAAAAAATAAAAAACAGCCGGACGCGGTGGCTCATGCCTGTAATCCCAGCACTTTGGGAAGCTGAGGCGGGCAGATCACGAGGTCAGGAGATCGAGACCATCCTGGCTAACACGGTGAAACCCTGTTCTACTAAAAATACAAAAAAACAGCCGGGCGTGGTAGCGGGCACCTGTAGTCCCAGCTACTGGGGAGGCTGAGGCAGGAGAATGGTGTGAACCCGGGAGGCGGAGCTTGCAGTGAGCTGAGATCATGCCACTGCACTCCAGCCTGGGCAACAGAGCAAGACTCCGTCTCAAAACAAAAACAAAAACCACAGAGATGGGGGTCTGGCTATGTTGCTCAGGCTGGTCTCAAATGCCAGGGCTCAAGCAATTCTCCCACTTTGACCTCCCAAAGTGCTGGGATTATAGGCGTGACCCGCTACACTGAGCCTACTTTTATTTTCTTTTCTTTTTTTGAGACAGATCTTGCTCTGTCGCCCAGGCTGGAGTGCAGTGGCACGACCTCAGCACACTGCAACCTCTGCCTTCTGGGCTCAAGCGATTCTCCTGCCTCAACCTCCCAAGTAGCCGGGATTACAGGTGCCCGCCACCATGCCTGGCTTTTGTATTTTTAGTAGAAACATGGTTTCACCATGTTGGCCAGGCTGGTCTCAAGCTCCTAACCTTGTGATCCTCCTGCTTCAGCCTCCCAAGTGTTGGGATTACACGAGTGAGCCACCACACCTGGTCCTATTGTCTTATTTATCTTTTTTTTGAGACGGAGTCTCAGTCTTGCCCAGAGCTGGAGTGCAGTGGCGCGATCTCAGCTCACCACAAGCTCCACCTCCCAGGTTCAAGCGATTCTCCTGCCTCAGCCTCCCACAGTGCTGGGATTAGGTGTGAGCCACCGTGCCCAGCCTCCCTTTGTAATTTATTGGCAAAATTGGGTTTTCTGCCCTGTAGTGTCTCTTAACCTTTGGATCTGCCCAGTGGTATCCCCTGGGGGTGCCTGGCCTGCTCCCCAGCCCCTGGTATTCCCTGTAAAACGGTAGTAAAGCGTAGATGCCATGCTGTCGGGTGAGCTGACCGTTCCCGGCAGCTCTTCCAATGTAAACGCTGCACAGCCAAGCATAGACACAGCGTTTTCATCATCCGGAAAGATCCATCAGATGCTGCTGACCTAAAGGCACGATGGGATCCAAGTTTGGGTTTTTGGTGGTGCTGGAGTCCCGTGGGGAGGCCTTGGCGGGTGTGACCTCAGCAGCCAGACCCACCTTCTCATGAGAGGTCTGCACCAGGTTACCCTGGCAGCTGTAGGGAGAACAGACCAAGGATGGTGCGGGGAGGACCCGCGGAGGGGCCTGGGCTGGTCCAGGAGGATGATGGGGAAGGAGGCTGGGTTCAATACTGGACCCCAGTCTGGGTGGGAGCCGTGGAGGGGTGAGCAGTGTGCGGAGGGTGGAGTCCCCAGGGTTTTCGGAGAAACAGGGTGTCACAGGCAGTGAGGACAGAGCTGCCTCCGCCGAGGGTGTGAAGAGCCAGAGTGGGGGCAGATCAGGAGTGAGGTCACGGATATGTTAGAGTGGGGCTCCCGTAGGACCCCGAGGGGAGAGGCAGAGGAGGTGGTAGGATAGGCCTCGAACCCAGGGCGAGGTCCGGGTGGCGATGGACCTGCCGGCGTTTAGAACAGAGGGTCTCCACTCGGGTTGATCGTGCCCCCCGGCCCCAGGGGACCCTGGACAGTGTCTGTCTGGAGACAGCTGTGGTTGTCACGCCTGGGGTGTGCTCTGGGCATGCAGTGGGTGGAGGCCAGGAATGCAGCCTCAGCGCCCTGCAGTGCCCAGGACGGCCCCACCCCGGAGAAGGGCGCATCCCTCAATGGTCAGGAGTCCCGAGGGGCAGGCAGAAGCGCTGACGGGGTCCCCCGCGCAGCTGCACCACCCGGCTCAGGGCTTCCGCGTCGGCACCGTGTGGGAGAGCAGCGCGGAGGCGTACATCAAGAAGAGTTTCCCCGAAATGCACGCGCACATGCGGCGCCACAGTGCGCCCACCACGCCCCACGGCGTGGCCATGCTCACGTGAGCTCGGGCGCAGGGTGGGGCGGGGGCGGGGCATGGGCGGGGCGACGGCTGACCCCGCTCCCGGCCCCCGCAGGAGCGACCCCCCCAAGCTCAACGCCTTCATTATGGACAAGTCGCTCCTGGACTACGAGGTCTCCATCGACGCCGACTGCAAACTGCTGACCGTGGGCAAGCCCTTCGCCATCGAGGGTGAGGGGCACCTGGGCGGGGCGGGGCGCCGGGGTCTCTGGGGACCTCCTGGGGGCAGTGGGGAGCCACGGAGGGTTTGAGGTGGGAAGAGGTGAAGTCTCACGTGTGCGGGCAGAGTTCCCCTGGGGCAGTCCCACCTGGCCCCACCGCCCGGCCCCGCGCCCCCAGGCTATGGGATCGGACTGCCCCAGAACTCACCGCTCACCTCCAACCTGTCCGAGTTCATCAGCCGCTACAAGTCCTCTGGCTTCATTGACCTCCTCCACGACAAGTGGTACAAGATGGTGCCTTGCGGCAAGCGGGTCTTCGCGGTTACAGAGGTGGGGCAGGGCCCAGGACAGAGGGTGGGGGTGGGGGGCCCTGGGCCTTGTCTGAGGTGACCAACCCCGTGCTCATTCCCCAGATATGCGTTTGTCCCCTTCTGCGCACTTCTATGCGCCCTACAAAACCCCAGTTCCAGTGCCCGCTCCTCCATGAAACCTCACTCCCCCAGCCATGGAGTCCCTGCCTCCCAGCCTGGCTCCACTGCCCCAGACCCCTCTCTCTGGCCCAAACTGTTCTCCCCCAGTTCAAGGCTCCCCAGGGGCCTGCCATTACGTGACCGTGAGGGGCTCCTGCTGTGATGCCCCCAGACCCTGCAGATGAGCATCTATCACTTCTCGGGCCTCTTCGTGTTGCTGTGCCTGGGCCTGGGCAGCGCTCTGCTCAGCTCGCTGGGCGAGCACGCCTTCTTCCGCCTGGCACTGCCGCGCATCCGCAGGGGGAGCAGGCTGCAGTACTGGCTGCACACCAGCCAGGTGGGGACCGGGCGGGCGGCGGGCGGCCCCACCACCCCCGCCTCCTCGCCAACCGTGTCTGTCTGGGGTTTTAGAAAATCCACCGCGCCCTCAACACGGAGCCGCCAGATGGGTCGAAGGAGGGAAAGGCAGAGGCGGAGCCCAGGTAAGTGGTATAAGTGGTGATCGGGGCGGACCACATCCCAGGAAGACCCAGACTCACCCCACCAGCTCGCCCCAAAGCCGGCCGCGGGGTGCAGGAGGTTCGCGCAGGTCCCCCGCCCACCCCCGGACGGCTCTGTGCACACCGCAGCTCCCTGGTTGTGCCTATCGGCCATCCTCTGCCCTCAGTGGCCCCTGCAGAGGCCGAGGGCGCGAGACGGCTGCCCCGGCAGACACTGACCAGGCCGGTTCCGTCCCCAGCGGCCCCGAGGTGGAGCAGCAGCAGCAGCAGGGCCTGCCAGTGGCTCCAGAGGGCTGGAAACGGGAGCGCCGGGTCGTGGACAAGGAGCGCCGCGTGCGCTTCCTGCTGGAGCCCGCCGTGGTTGTGGCGCCCCAAGCGGACGCAGAGGCGGAGGATGCCCCGCGAGAGAGCCCCGTCTGGCTGTGCTCCAACGGCCGCCCGCCCGCTGCAAGGCCCACGGGAGACCCGCAGCCCGGGGAGCTGCAGGAGCTGGAGCGGTGCATCGAGATAGCGCGCGAGCGGCTCCGCCAGGCCCTGGTGCGGCGAGGCGAGCTCCTGGCACAGCTCGGGGACAGCGCACGCCACCGGCCTCTGCGCCTGCTTCAGGCCTCAGCGGCCCCCGGGGAGGACCCACCACACTCTGGCCGACGGCGGAGCCGCGAGTAAGGTGGCAGCCAGGCCCTTTGGGCTCAAGACACACACATAGCGCAGTGGGCCGCTGTCAACAGACAGTTTATTCTATATACAAACACAATTTTGTACACTGCAATTAAATAGAATGGAATGAGCGCTCCTCCGCATTCCTCTCCGAGTGACTGGTTTGGCCCCCGGCCCACTCCACCCCGAGTGGGGCTGGCCCACAGCCCTGGCTGCTGCTGTTGGCACCTGCACCCCACGTCCCTATGCCCGAGGCACAAGCTCTACTCTCCTGGGAACCCCAGGCCTGGTGCACACGCGGGGAGGGCCGGGCCATGGAGAAGGCACTGCAGGGAGCACCAGGCAGAGCCGGGCTGAGGCCGGAAGGGACAGCGCTAGGGTCCAAGGCCCCGCTCCATCCCGGCCTCTCCTCCACACCTCCGCCTTGCTCAGAGACCTGCACCATGGGACCCCACTCCATCCTCAAGACGGTTCATTACAGACCTTTCACCAAGCCCCCTCCAGAACCTTCCACGGAACCCCACCCCCTCTCTTTGCTGGCCAGCTCAAACAGCTCACTATCGGGTACAAGCCTCGGGCACAACCTCACACCACGGGGAGGGAAGCCCGCCTTCCGGGCAAACCCCATGACACCCTGAAAGCCCCCGACACAGGCTGGGCAGTCCCAGAGGAAGGAGGTGGCGACTCCCCAGCCCCCACAGACTCCAGAAGGTCAGGCCCAGCCAGCAGGGGTCAGAGGCGGCTCAGCTGTGCGGCTCAGGACCCAGCCTCCAAGGGCACCTCTGTTGGGGCCATGGAGGCCGGGCTAGGCCCGCCCACTGCAGCTGCCAGGGGAGTTGTGTCGGAAGCTGCGGAGTCACTCGTGGGGACACTGTCCTGAGGGGCGTTAGGGAGGCCCCCAGCAGGGACCAGTGGGCTGGCTGGACGCCGCTCCAGGAGGGAGGCGCTCAGGCCAGACAGGAAGGAGGCGTCTGTGATGATGGCAGCGGTCTCTGCCATCCAGCCCAGGTCACCACCAGCAGCTGCTGCCACTGAGGCTGCTGCGGCCACCAGGGAGCTGGGCGCCGTGGCCACAGGCCCGGGACTCCCTCCGGCACCGGGCGAGACGGGGCCCAGGGCGGGGGGCTGGCTGGCAGAGTCCGGGGCGGTAGCCGGGGTGCCCGAGTTGTTGTTCATGTCATCGGGCAGCACCGTGGGGGTCCCAGGGCCCAGTGGTGGTGCCTGCAGCAGCATCTCCTGGATGCGGACCTGCTGCAGGATGGCGGGCAGCTCGTAGTGGTGGAAGAAGTAGATCATGGAATGCTGCGGGAGGGCGGGAGGGCGGGCGGGAGTCAGGACGGGCCGCCCCTGCTCCGCCCAGCCACTGCTCCCAGAGGGCAGCCCACCCCGCAGGGCTTCTTCCCAGGACCATCCGCTGCCTCTGCCCGCCTGGGCCCACCCTGCAGGGCTTCTTCCCGGGCTGCGGCCTCTCCCGCTTGGAAAGGCACGGCTGGCCCGCCCCCTGCTTGCCGCCTGGGCCTCACCTGGATGAAGAGCCAGGAGGTGACCAGGGCCAGGCTGCTGTACTGCCCATTGAAGCGGTAGTGGTAGGCATAGAAGGCGAAGTGGTAGAGATAGAAGAACCTGCGGGGCGGGGTGTGAGGGCGTCGGGGCTGCCCCGCCCCACCGCAGGTCCCGTCCCGCCAGGCCACGCCCCTGGGGTTCCCCCCCCCCACACCCCCTGCTCCAACACCCCTCCCTCTATCAGCCCCCGACCCCTGCCCACCAGCACCCTCTCCATCCTGCCCCCGCGCCGCGCTCACCGCAGCCAGTGCCGCTTGCTGGTGCTGGTGTGGCAGCAGATGGCGTCGTACTGGTCCGCGAGCCACACGATGAGGATGATGTAGAAGGCGGTGGTGGTGTCGTTGAAGAACTCGGACATGATGGCCTCCATCCCTGCGGGGAGAGGCGGCGCCGATTGGAGCGGGCGGGGTGGGGTGCGGCGCAGGGCGGGGGAGGCCGGGTGGGGTCCTCACCGACGAGGGCCAGGATGACGGTCAGCAGGGGCGCTGCGGGGAAGGCGATGGCCATGTTCATCTCCAGCATCTGCAGCAGGTCCACTGCGGGCACAGGGCGGCAGGCGCCCGGTGAGGGCCTGGAGGACGCCCGCCCCGCCCCACGCCGGCGGGCCACTCACCGATGAAGACGAAGATCTGGTGGTGCGAGTACCGCAGCAGCATGGACACGCTCAGCGTCTGCAGGGGGCGCGCGGGAGGGGCTGTGAGGGGCTGCTTGGCTCCCGCCCCGCCAGCGCCCACGCCCGCCCCGAGGCACTCACGAAGATGACCATGATGACGAAGGCGGCCAGGTACGACGTGCGCGCCATCCACATGCTCACGAAGCGGTAGTGCTCGCCGGACACCACGTTCCGCAGGAAGCCTGCAGCGGAGAGGGCCGTGAGCGCCCGCGGCAACCTGCGCCCTCGCAATCTCCGGCCCAGGGCGTGCCTCACCCTTGTTCTCCTCGTTCTCCGCCAGGCCCTTCACGCTGGACATGAGGATGTCGTCGTAGCCCAGAAACTCATCCAGCAGCAGGCGGCTGAAGCGGTCCCCAAAGCACTGGTCCCGCGTGGGGTCTGCGGGCGGGTGGATCAGGGAGCCGGGAGCCCTGCCCCAGCTGGTTCCATCGCTGAGGCCCCACCTGCCTCCCGGCCCTGCCCGTTCTTAGGAAACCACTCAGGAACCGCAGCCGTGGGAAGCGCGCCTGGGGTGGCGCAGACCCCCGTGCTTCCTGCACAGCCCCCAGCCCCGCACCTGCAGGAGGAGACCCCAGGGAGGAGGAGAGGCCCCGCCATGGAGCTCCCCCAGCCCAGCAGCTCAGACTCACCCAGGGTGACCACCATGACAGGGATACTCAGACGCTGGCGGGTGGCCGGCGACAGGCGCAGGAAGCCATACTCCAGCGAGTACTCCACGATGTATTCGTCCTGTGGCCACACTGCGAGGCAGAACCAGGGGCAGGTCAATGCCCCCCACCCCATCCCCCACCACTGCCTCCAGGCGAGGCAGGTGTTGAGGGGCAGAGGGTGAGACCTGCTGAGTCCTGGGCCCCTGGTGGGTGCTGGGAGGACCCGACATGGACACTCGGGATGGTGCCCACCCACACTGGTGTCCCGCCCTGTGTCTGCAGAGGCTGGCCAGGCTCCTCCCGTGGCCCCCTGTCCCTGGCTGGGGCTGGCTGGGTGCAGGGCTGCCCCTCTGCCCTGGCGGCCTGTCAGCACACCCCCAACACTTCAGAGGCCGCGGCCCTCTGGATAGACCGCCTGCTGCTGCCAGATGGGCAGGGGCAGGGGCTTCCCTGAGCACAGCCAGCCAGAACTCCGAGCTCACAGCCAAAGGGGCCCATCCCCTCCAAGTTGCCGTTTACAAGAGGGTCCCAGAGAGGATGAGCTGAGCCAGTTACCCCAGGCCCTGGGGTGTCCCCAAAGCCTCGTATGCTGACAGATGGGGAAGTCGAGGCACGGAGCTGCCCTGAATGGTCCAGGGCATGTGGCCAGCAGGCTGGGGATGTTCGGAGGGACCCCACCTGCGCCCCGGCACCCAATGGCTGGGGCAGCCCTGTGAGGCAGCACACCTTTGGTGGGTGGCCTACCTTTGGTGGGCGTCTCGGGGAAGGGGAACTCCTGGCTGTCATTCAGGGCCTCTGTGCTACTCGGCGGCTTGAACACCTTGGGCTCGATGTCCAGCTCAAACTGTGGGTGACCAGGGACCAGGGCGTCAGCAGCGCCAGCCCAGGCTGTGAGGACCCGGCCTGAGGATGCAGTCCTGCTGACAGGAAGAGGCTGGGTGCCTCGGCCTCTGCCCCATCACCGACCAGGCCAGGGTGGACTGCACGTGCCTCCTGCCTCAGCCAGGATCCCACCTCAACACCAAGCCTGCCCTGCTGGAGGCCATCTCCAAGCGTGGGTCTGAGTCCTGAAGCTGGGGAAGGGCCAGCCACAGACAGTGGGCCCCATGGAGGGGTCTATCATGCTCTGGCCAAACGCTCAAACTCTTGGGGTTGGCTTTGTGGGAACAGGTGGGACCCCAAATCCTGACTGCTGAAGCAAAAAGATCTCCCACCAGGCCGTGGGGCCCAACACAGCCACCTGGTCCCACCAGTGCCCGAGGCCACCACAAGCTGACCAGGCACCCAGCACCTCTGCAGGCAGCGGGGACCTCAGCACGGTGAGGATGGGCCCAGAGCTCTCACCTCCCAGCCCCCAGGCCCCTCAGCTATTCCTGCCCACCGCACCCCCAGGCCCAGCCAATCCCCTCCCGGGACAGCTGGACTCTCGAAGGCTGGAGTCTGCCCAGCCCAGGCCTCCAGCAGGGAGACAGGTGGAGGGTTTGGCTTCAGAGCCCCCAGGCCACCAAAAGCCATGGCAGGCAGAGGCAGGCCTGTCTGCATGCCAGGTCCCTGAAAGTCAAGAACCCCAACATCCTGTCTGTGTCAGGAACTGCCCCTTCAGCCACGAGCATTTATGGGGCACCGGCCTCTGCCGCGGCTGAGCCCAGCCCTGGCTCACCTTGATGGAGCTGTTCCCAAACATCTCCATGGTCAGCTCCTCCTCCTCCTCGTCTTCCACGTCCAGGCTACTGCCTGGCTCCACGGCCAGGCCCGGGAAGCTCCCGGAACCTCCGCCGTCACAGAACTGCAGGAAGACGGGCGCGCGGCTCGAGTTGTGCCGCACCTCCACACGCAGGATGCCCTCGCGAGGCCACTTGTCACGCACATGCTCCAGGCAGTTGATGGGCGAGCGGGAGAAGACGATATGGATGTAGGCCAGGACGAAGAGCACAAACAGGGCCTGGGGGACGGCCGGCAGTCAGTGGGCCGCCCCAGGACCCGCTGCAGCCGACACCTGAGGTCCTACGTGGTGGGGCGCGCTGGGCTGCCCAGGACAGGGGAAAGGAAGGAAACCCCAGAAGCCGAATTGGGCTCTGAGGACCCCGGGTCCCTCCCACACTGACCGCACCTGGCCAACCCCTCACGCAGCCCAAGTGACTGAGGATCCCGGGGACACCCCACTCCAACCCTGGAAGGGCTCTACCACCTGTGGCCTGGCTCTGACAGGCCCCCAGGGCTTAGGCAAGGCCTGTGACTGCCCCGCACCTCCTCAGGGGTGAGCCGGATGAAGCCAGCAGGCTGGGGCCCTCTCAGATGCGCACAGGACCCCCCCGAACCAGGGAAGAGACGAGGCTGGACTCAGACCCACCAAGTGGAGCACACCAGGCCTCTCTGCCAGCCAACAGCTCCCGCCCTGAAAGGAGCAGCCTGAGTGCTGCCGCCACCCAGGGGCCACCAGCTGGGCCCACTGCCTACGAAAGACCGGCACAGGCCTCCACAGCCCATCCTGCTGCTCCCTGCCTCACCTTCCACTGTGTCCCCAGCGCTCCCTGATCTCACCAGCTGAAAATAGCTTCTCTCACCTGACGGGGCGCCCTGTGCACCCCTCCCAGGCCTGGCGGGGCCAGCCGCAGCTGCTGGGGAGACAGTGGCCCTCCACGGCAGGGCCAGGCTGTCGTGCCCCCCAAGGCACAGTCTATGAACTGGGGTGGCAGCAGCTCTCACCTGGGGGCTCCTGCCCAGGGGATGCTGGGGACATCTGTGGTTGTCACAACTAGGGGAGCTCCCGGCATGGAGTGGATGAGGCAAGGGATGCTGCTCAGCACCCAGCAGTGCCAAGGACGGCCCCACCCCAACGTCCACAGGGCCTGGGGAGCCCACGCCCCAGCATGCTGCAGGCACAACTCAGAGGGGGCCCTCTAGGGGCAGTTCAGGGCAGCCCCTCTTCCACCTGCCCACCTCATCATCTGGCAGCTTGGCTGCCCACTGTACCTCCCAACCTGAGGTCTAGGCATCACCCCCCGAACCTGGTGAGGGTCACGTCCACCTGCTGCCCCGATCTGGGAAACTGAGGACCCAGCTGGGCCAAGGGGGCGCCCACGGCCGCATGGAACCCCAGACTCTCAGGGAAAAATTGACCAGACTCAAAACCACAAGCCAGAGAGGCCTGCAGCACAGGACCCCTCCCTGACCTGCTGGCAGGTGCACCGAGGCCCGGGGCGCAGTGAGCCACCTGTGGCCGCACAGCCATGGGCAAGACCAGCAGGAGCCTCAACTCTTCCCACAGGGAGCCGGGCCTCCTCTCCAGAGCCCTCTGCAGACCCAGCAAAGCAACCCACTGCTGGCCCGGCCGCAGTGCTGTGACCTGAGGGAGGCCCTGAGTCTGAGCATAGATGAAGCCCTGGGTCCGGCCGCACCTGCAGCTGGGCTCGCCCCATCACACTCGCCAGGTCCAGGAGCTGGAGAACCCCTGGGCTGATCTGAACTGCATTTCCAGTCCTTACAGCCAAAGGAGTGCAGGGGATGGAAGTTCGCACAGCACTGAGATTGAAGCAGAAACAAGCGACAGCAGAACCCTGACCACCACGAATTCAGGTCCCTCTGCTGGGGAGGGTTCCCCTGTGTCCTGGGGGAGGCAGGGAGGGCAGTATGAACGGTGGGCAGCCCTGGAGCCTGAGATGCCTTCAAAGCCTAGGACTTCCCCCATATGGCATCTGGGGACAGGAGCCACAGAGGCTGGGCCCAGTGGTGGGTCACGGTCAGGCCCACAGTGGATGCGCTGGTGGCCATGCTCAGCCTTCCAGGCCCAGACGTCCAGCAGGAGCTGTGCCCAGGACAGCTATGGACCCTGTGCCAAGATGTTCCAAAAAGTGCTGACACACAGTGGGCCGAGGTCGGGGCTGCCCAACGCTTCCCAAGGGACGCACGGCTGTTACCATCCCTGGTTTATAGATGAGGAACTGACGCAGAGTTCCTGACAGACCTGGACCTGCTGAGGTCACATGGCCAGGAGGGAGGGGCCGGGGCAGTGCCAGGCTGCACACTTAAGGCCCCACAGAGAAGAGCAGCGCCTGGGGTCGCCCTGAGGAAGGGTGTGAGTGACCTGTCCTATGAACACAGCAGACATGATGAGAGGATGCCAGTGTCTTCACACAATGTGCACACACTCCAGTGGAAGACGCCAAGTCCCCCAGACGCTATGACTCAGATGTCACTGTCTCTGCCCCATCAGGTGCTCCGTGCTGACCGGGCTCAGGAACCCCCAGCCCGGGCCCACCACGGTCCTTCTTCCCTGACAGCCTGACCAGGAATCTGCCCCACTGGACGAGGCCTGCTCCCACCAAAGCCTCAGCTCCCCCACAATCTCCCACCACAAAACAAGGAGCAGGCACCGCCCAGCCAGACATAGGCTCATCTTGAGTCCCGGGTCCTCCTCCCGAAGACCTGTCATCAGCCACCTTGCAGCAGACACCTCACCTGGCCCGGCCTGGCACCACACGCCCAGGCAGCCTCGTCCACACCCACAGCAGCCCTCCCCAGGGATCTCAACTGCAAATGCTCCCACGGGCCCCTGGCCACCCTCCGCCCGCAGCCTGGCTCAGCCACTGGCACGTCTTGGGTGGTACAGACCCCACACTCCATGGCCCTGTCCCTGACTCCAGCTCCCCAGCAGCTGCCCACCTGCTCCAGCCCCAGCGCCTTCCCACACGCCCTCCAGCTGCCTAGACAGCCTGCCCCGTCCCACTGGCTGTGGCAGGAGGCCCTGCCCACCCCCGACAGGAGTCACCCCACCCCTATGGCCCTTTCTTCCTCCGGGTCAGCCCACACACCGCTGCACCCACAGGAGCTCCTCCCCCAGCCCGGGGCTGTGCTCACCACACCAGGAAGCTTCCTGGATGTTCTGGCCTCGGCTCCCAGGGCACCCGAACACTCAGCCACCCGGTGGGCCTCTCCCTTCCTGTCTCCCCACAGACCTGGACGGCCAGGAGCAGCCTGCTCCCTCTCTGGGTATTTGAGCGACCCACAGACTGACAGACAAGCCTGCAGAGCCACACTCTCCTCCTCAGGTGGGGCACAGAGCCCTCAGCCCCGGCCAGGAAACGCTACCTGGGGCTCCCCTTTGTCCACCTGGGGTGCTTCCGGCCTCCAGGCCACGGGGTCCTCTCCTTCTATCGCAGCCTCACAAAGTGGCCTCAATGTGACAGGTCCCCCATTCCGAGCACGGCCCCTGGGGTCTCATATACCTTGTCTTTCATCCTCACAACGACCCCACCAGAGGAGCCCCGTTACTCCCCGTGGCTAGGGGTGGGCCCTTGCCCATGTCCAGTGCGCTGAGTCGAGACCCTCTTCACCCTGTGGGCATCCACTCAGTGGTCACCTGGGTCCGGAGCCCAACTGCACAGGTGCGGGCACCCAGTCACAGCACCCTAGGATGGACGGTCTCTGCCACGCTGGCTTCGGGGCCATGAAGGCCAGCAGAGGTGGGTGCTGAGGCTGGAGGGAGGTCTCCCCAGGGCCTCTGGAACACAGGCCCCTGCCGCCTCTTCTCTCCCCAGCACCTGGTACTGCCTGGCATTTCCTAAAACCACCCAGGCAAGGGTGAGGGGCTGAGGGGCCTCGTGCTGGCTCAGGGCTGGGAGCTCCTGGCATTTCGTGAAGCCACCCAGGCATGGGGGAGGGCCGGGGGGCTCCATGCCAGCTCAGGGCTGGGAGCTCAGCGGCACAGGGGCCACAGAATGAAGAAACCTTGAAGGGACCGCACCAGGGAGGACCTGGCTCTCTGCAGGGAGAGCCCCGGAAGCCGGGTGGGCAGGAAGCAGAAGAGCCTTCTGGAATTCAAGGCAGCCTCTGAGAGCCAGTCCTAGCCTGCACTTTGCAGATAAGTAAAAGTGAAGGCGGCAAGGTCAGATTCTGAACCACCAGATTACCCGGTGGAGAATTCACAACGAACCGATTTCCCCACCCAGGCCGGGCACGGGGGCTCACACCTGTAATCCCAGCATTTCTGGAGGCCAAGGTGGGCAGGTCGCCTGAAATCAGTTTTGAGACCAGCCTGGCCAACATGGCAAAACCCATGTCTACCAAAAATACAAAAAAAGTAGCTGGTTGTGGTGGCAGGCGCCTGCAGTCCCAGCTACTCGGGAGGCTGAGGCAGAAGAATTGCTGGAACCCAGGAGGTGGAGGTTGCAGTGAGCCGAGATTGAGCCACTGCATTCCAGCCTGGGCGACAGAGCAAGACTCCATCTCAAAAAAAAAAAAAAAAAATCACCACCCAGAGATCTCGCAGCCCAGAGCCCCCTGCTGAGAGAGGAGGGATGGGGGGCGCTAAGAACCTCCCCAGAATCTCCACCCTCCACAGGAGAGGGGGGACCTCCAGCTCTGGCCCAGCCCCATCTGACCACCTGTGAGTGGTACCTGCCTGGAGATAGAGTTGGGTAGGCTTGATCCCTTTCCAAACTGGGACGTGGTGGGACGGAAGCCCAGGCAACAGGGATGCACCTCCCAGGGAGGCTGAGCTCTGTCAGGGGCACCTGGCCTGGCACCCAGCACACATCCTCCACAAAGCTAAGGACAGAGCGGCTCCATCCTGGACCCAGGCTACTCCATGGAAGGAAAACCCACGTCCACAGACCAGCCTCCGTCCACAGTTTCAGGTCCCGTCTGTGGACCCCCGAGCAGGGAAAGGCCGCCTGCCCGAGTAACCCTTCACAGTCCTGCTCAGATGCCAGAGGCAACCACGCCACTCTGGAGGGCTGCAGGGAGGAAGAAGGTGGGAAGGATGACGGGCTGAGCTCTGGCCTGGGGAGGCCACAGATCTGGAGGCTAAGGGGCCTCCCTTGAGGCGGCGGTAGGCTGGGACCCACACGCAGGTCTGCAGGACGGCCAAGCTCCAGCTCCACCTGCTGAGCCCAAAAGAGCAGCCGGCTCCTGACCAACAGGCCTGGCCCGCCAGCGTCAGCCCCCTCTCTGCAGACTAGCTCCAAAAAGCTCACGGCGCAAGTTCAGCACCCCCCCAAGCCCCAGCACTGCGGTGTTCTGATGCAAAACAAAAACGGCCATGTCTCCATTTCCCCAAGTGGTCCAGGACCCCGGCCAACTTGTTTTCTGAGGGGCTGCACCTGCTGCTGAGCCCCTCCTGTCACCCAAGACAGGCTCCTTCTCAGAGGGACTCAGGCCAGTCCTGCACGGCTGAGACCTCTGTGCCATCTGAGAAGGGCAGGAAGGGGACAGAGGCCAAGACGCAGAGGTCGGTGCCTCATACAGGAGGCACGGGAGACAGACCTGAACTCCTGGGTCAGGAAGGGGATGGGGACCAAGCGGAGGAGGCCGGGGATGGGCTGGAACGCTGCTGCCGGTGACTTTGCCGCTAACCCTAGGGAGGTGACCTCAGCTAAGTCACATTCTCCTGAGGCTCAGGAGAGGGGAACGAGGTGGGGGCAGGTGGAAGCCTACAAGGAGGGAGAGAGCCCCACCAGGAGGAAGAGTGGGGAGTGGACTTCCAGGGCTGGGGCTGGTCCAAGGGAGCCCTGGGTCAGACTGGGTTCTGGGCCAGCACACGGGGAGTGGAAAGAGGCCTGGGGACTGAGGGTCACAGGCGGCAGAGTCAGGGGTCAAAGGGCGGGAGGTGCTCCGTCGCAGGCCAGGACCGGGCTCCAAGCCTGGGTAGATAGGGACCTGGGAAAGGCGGTCGCCGGGGACAGGATGGTCCCTGGAGGGGGCTGAGATGGAGGTTTCCAGAGAACAGCGGCTTCTAGTGCAGTGGCAACCGGCCTTCCCGGGTGTACGTCCCCGGGCGGGATGGGGTCACGAGACGGTGTCCCTGGCCAATCCCAGGGTCAGAGGTCGCGAGGGAGGACCCTAACCGGTAGGGTCGGATCTAGGCCTCGGGGTGCAGGGTGGCGCTCGGTGTCCCCAGCGAGGCCAGGGGCCGCAGTCGCAGGTCGCAGACATGGGGGTCAGGCCGGGCGCTGGGGTCAAGGGTCGGGGGTCGGCGCCGCGGTCACCTTGAGCAACACGAAGAACTCGAAGAGACGGCGGAAGGCGGGCGGGAAGAGCCGCGAATAGGTGACAGCCATCTTGAAGAACAGCGCGTGGAACAGCCGGTCGCGCACGTTGATGAGGGGGTTGGGGTTGAGGTTGGGGGTGCGAGGCCCGCGCGCAGGGGCCGGGCCGCCGCCGCCGCCGTTGGGCCCGGGCCCCGGAGCTCCGGGCGCCGCGTGCTCCGACATGCCGCCCAGCGTCGCGCCCTAACGGCCCGCAGGTGTCCGAGGGCGCCTCCCGGCCGCCATCGGCCGCCCTTACCGCCGCCGCACTCCTTACGGCCGCCCGGCCGCTGCCGCCATCTTCCGCCTCCTCGTCCTGCTGCGGCCCTGCTGACGCTAGCGAGTCGCCACGCCGGGCAAGAGCGGCCCCCCTGCGCCTGCAGGGAACGCTGGGATACCAGCGGCCGCCCGGGGAAGCTTCATCCCCGCCCTGGCCTGCGCCAGGGGGCGAGGCTACATCCGGCCCACGGCTTTTGCATATTGCACCCACAATCCACCGCGTCTAGGAGGCCAGTATAAGACGGTAAAATTTTGATAAGATATGGGATTTTGCGTGACGGAAGACACTCAAAGTAAGTGCAAGCAGAGAATTTATTTGGCAATATACAACTGTAGGAAGTTATGCTAAACATAAGACTGACCATAAGTTCTCCTAACTGTAAGGTAATTAGTTTGAAGGCCTTTAAATAACCGTAGCTGGAACTTTCGAGTCGTGCTCGCTTCGGCAGCACATATACTAAAATTGGAACGATACAGAGAAGATTAGCATGGCCCCTGCGCAAGGATGACACGCAAATTCGTGAAGCGTTCCATATTTTTGCTTATAGTCCGCAGCTGGTCAGCTCGTTTTGCTTCCCTTCCCCGGACTCCCCGGATGTCCATCTCCCCTGGCACCAGAGGTTGGCGATAGGACAATCTGGCCGTCCCCACTCAAGCACCTGCCCCTGTAGCCCTCGGGCAACAGTAAGTAAATGCTCTTCAGGGGCACGTATTGAGTCCCTCCTGCCTACATAAGAGGATACTACGGTTTCTGTTTTTGGGTTTTTTTTGTTTGAGACGGATTCTCGCTCCGTCACCCAGGCTGGAGTGCAGAAGCGCGATCTCGGCTCTCTGCAACCTCCGCCTCCCGGGTTCAAGCGATTCTCCTGCCTCAGCCTCCCAAGTAGCTGGGATTACAGGCATGCGCCACCGCGCCCAGCTCATTTTGTATTTTTGGTAGAGACTGGGTTGCTCCATGTTGGTGAGGCTGGTCTCGAACTCCCAACCTTAGGTGATCTGCCCGCCTCAGCCTCCCAAAGTGCTGGGATTACAGGAATGAGACACAACGCCCGGTCTAGACAGGGTTTTTTGTAGATCCATGTTGCCTATGGTCTGAACTCTTGAGCTCAAGCAATCTGCCAGCGTCAGCCTCCCAAAGTGCTGGGATTACAGGTGTGACCCACCAAGCCCACGCCAAAAAAAAGTTTTGGTTTTTGTTTGTTTGTTTTGACACAGAGTCTCACTGCCGCCCAGGCTGGAGTGCAGTGGCGTG